TGATATGACGGGATGCCCTCAGAGGCTCGATGAACGCAGGGAATTGGCATATGTAAGAATGGTAGCTCAAAAGCAAAGAACGGAGCGGTATTATAATCGAAGAGCCAACCTCCGTTATTTCAAAGTAGGTGACTTGGTCCTAAATAAAGTAACTCACAATACCCGGGAGCTCAATGCGGGGAAGCTAAGTCCAATGTGAGAAGGCCCCTACCGGGTCTCAGCTATCACCGAAAAAGATTCATACAAGTTGGAAAACAAAAATGGAGAAACGTTGCCCAGCAATTGGAACGTGGCACACCTCAAAAGATATTATTGCTGATGAACATTATCCGATCAGAAAGTATGTGCTGCACTCTTTTTCCCTTCATTCAGTTTTTGTCCCAATTGAGTTTTTCTAGCAAGGTTTTTAATGAGGCAGCAACAGAAAGCACACTATGAAGACAGAAACAATAAGGCCTTTAATAGCAAGACACACAAGCAGAGATCCACTCGGGGATGGTTAGATAATTTTTTGCTCTGTAGCAAATTCTCACCGGGAAGTTAAGTTTGCCATTGAGCAAAGTTTATCTGATCACACACGAGCACAAATTCCAGTGTTCCAATTCGCATTATTCGCATTCAAACACTGGGGGAATGATATGAGGATACAGCAATACTGACTGCCACGTCGACCGGGAACAAAAACTAGGAAATATAATTACGTCATCGGGACCGGGGACTGCACGAACAGCCCCGTAGAAACTAGTTGTGCAAGTTAGCCACAAGTAATGGCAATTTCTTTTCAACATAGCAAATGCTTATGTAGTTTTTAAAAATAGAGGGAATAAAATGAAATCCTTTTGTTTTTATCTTGTTTCTTGTCTGAACGATGAATTAACTTTATCATTTGAACGTTAAACAAGTACTTCAAATGTTAGTTCCGTAATGAACTGGAGACGTCCTCTTCAAGAGAACAATAAACATAAGAGGGCCCTCTCTTATAAAAACCCTGTTGTTAAAGGGTTGGTTCCGAAAGAATTTATGCCCGGAATCGAAAATGCCATCGGGGAAAAATCCACCCGAAGCCGCATACGAAAAGGACTCAAAAAGTAAACTTGCGCAAATACTTATCAGAGCCCTCACGGAAAAGGGCTGATGCCCGGAACAAAAAATGCTTTCGGGGAGAATACACCTAAAGGTTTCACGTAGTAAGATGCAAAAGAATCTGCGCAAAATTCTTAAAGAAAATGCAAAGATTAAAGGCTTGCATATTCTAACAATGAGAAGACTCAGACAATACTTGAGGAAAAGATGTTTTTATTAATGAAAACATGACAAAATGGCATAGATACAAGAACTGGAAAAGAAAAGAAAAGCTAAATTGCATTGTCTCTGGAACCAGGAGGAAGAGAAGTGTCTGCGCCCCCGAAAGGAAGTAGACGGACCCATCGATGGCTCAACATTTTTATCAGTTTTCTCTTCGACATCATCATCCTCTGATTTTTCTTCAGTTCTCATAATCTCTGAACAAGAACCAGAAGGACCAGGTGCATCAAACCTTGATGGGAGTCCACTTTTAGCAGCTAACTCAAGCTCGCGGGCCTTTGCAATTTCAGCATCAAAGTCAATGACACCAGCTTTGGCCTCTTCCAAAGTTTTTCTCCTCATGCTGTACATGGCATAAGTTTTTTCAACAATGAGGGAAGCGGCTCACCGCTTGAGTTCTTCTTTGAGTTGAGTTACCTCGACCGAAAGATTTTCCTAGGCAGATGTAGCATATTTGAGGCTGACATCAAGGACACATACAGTTGAACTAAAGAGCCTATTATGCTTGATAATTTTCATGTACTTCTCTTCTAGTTGGGCGTGTTTTGCCCCACAATAACAAGCTCTTCAATATTGGAGTTCAAGGTTGCCTCTAAGGTAATCACTCTTTCAGCGGAGGCAGCCTCACGTTCGATTGCAGCAAGAACTACGTTATGGACTTCAACCCATTTGGCCTTGGCTTCGTCAAATCTAACCCTCAGAGGGCTAATTTCTTGTCTAAGGGTTACTACTTCTTGCTCGCTCTGCCGCAAACGACCTTCCAATACAATATCTTCAGTGGCTTTGGCTTCCAGTTCTGTTCTGCATTATCTACTAAAGGCTTCAGATAACTAGCAAGCTCCACTGGCCGGTATAGAAAGTTGTATCAGACACAGCAATTGGGGCTCGAAAATGGGAGTCGACAGTATCTACTAAATCAAATTCTCCCCAAAGTGCCGAGACATTGTCCTCGGTTGGTGTAGCCCTCTCAACAGGTAAGCATCTTGTTGAGATGATGAGGATCGTCATCTTCTATGTAGAGAAGATCCCTCATCACTAGCTTCTCCATCATCATCGATCATCACGGTGTCTATGACCGGCCCGGAAGGAGGTCCAGTCAACATCAATACCGAAGATGACTCAGGGGCATCAATCTTCGCCCTTTTATTCTTTTCCCCGGCTGCAGAGGACCGTCTTCTCTTTTGTTGTTTATCTTCTAGCTGGGTACTCCGAAAAGAAGCATTTGCTCTCAAAGCAGGCCCGGAGCTACCTGTTCGAGTAAGCGCCTCCTGAAGCAGCCTCGCTGCATCAGTAGGATCAACCAAGACATCCTCCTCGGGAACAGCAACAGAGCCCGCAGGTAGACCTAATTTCATAGACAGGTTAGAAGAGATCAATCAAGTTCTTTATATGAAAAATTGAAATGAGATAAGTTTGAATTACCATGATTCTTGGCCTTCCACTCGTATTTAGGGGCCAAGTCTTTCCACAAGATCTTTTGTGCCCACCGGTCCAAACCTTCAATCACCGGTGGGACCCACCGAGTTGCTGAAACAGACAAAGAATGGAAGATCAATACGGCTACTAAAGATTTTTTAGTAAAAGGAACTATTAAATAAAGAGCTTACGAGTGCGATTCCAAGCGACCGGAAAGGATGAAGCCATTGCTGGAATGATATTGTCGGTGGCAATTGCAACGAATCGTTCCATCCATCCACGGTCGTTGTCATCATCGCTAGACAATAAGGCATGGTGGCCATGCTTGCAGAGGTTTATCATTCCCCCGCGGAAGATTTTGGGAGAATAAAGATTCATCATTTGAGCTAAGGTTAGCTCTTCCCAGTTTCCTGGCACAAACTCCGGAGACAAGCAATCGTTCTCCATACATAAGGACTTACTTGTGCCAAACACATCTGGTAACGGAGGCAAAAATCCGCAATCATGGAGTCAATCTCTCTGCTAAAGAAATCGCACCCAAAGTAAAGGGATATGTGTTAACATATGTAAAACCTTCCTTGGGAAGGTTGACTCACTCCGATGGATCGGGAACGATAATTTCTAAGTCATGGCAGCGACAGTCCTCCCTCACAGCAGGAATGCTCGAAGAACGTATTGAAGAAGGATACCTGCTAACGGCCCATGTACGAGAATTATCGGTAGGAAATTTCTCTTCGAAGTCTTTTGTGGTAATAAGACTTCCAGGGATGATGGAACCCACTGTTGGAGGAACAAAGTCCTCGGCTTTGTTCTTGCTTTTTGAGAAATCGGTACGTTTTGAGGAAGAGGCCATTGTAGGAAAGAAAGGGTTTTTAGTTTGAAGAGAATTAGGAAAAAGATGAAGAAACAATATGCAAAAGTAGATGAAGGAAGTTATAAAGTGTAAGGGTGGAAGTTGATACGTATAAGTAAAAGTTTTGGCGGCTAAATTCATGGCCGGAATTACCTCGATAATCGGCGAAAGAAGTGTTAAATCATGGGAAGACGCGTGTTCGGGGCATTAAATATGGAGAGACATGCGTCTAATCAACCGTCAGTAGCCTTCAGATGGATTTATAGTAATTCCCGCCAAAAGAGTGTTTCTACTAACTTTCCGGTAACACAAAGTTATGTCACCAGAAAATATGGGGACTATCTGTATTGGGTAAAATATGTTATGGCACGTGACTGTCCAAGAAAAGGACATGTGGAACCCAAGACGTGGGGATGACTGAAGACAATAATTTTGTTTGTCACCAGAAAGAATAATGCTCATAAAAATATGATAAATGCTCTTCTTCCAGTAGCATTAAATAGGGAATATTCATGGCATTAAGAGCAATTACCCGTTACAAAAACTTTTGTATTTATATTCACCGTTACATCTTCATCTATACTCCTCATAATTGACATTAAAGAAGGGCACGACCCTAAGACCTTCTTCATAGCTATAAATAGTGAGCTCGGGTGTCATTGTAAGGAGGGCAGCGACTATTCTGGCAAACTTATACTATATTTTATACAAAACTCAATCCAATCTTAGCTTCTGATTTCTCGATTCTTTTTATTTTTGTGCCCGAAAATCTTGTTCCTGGAATTGTTGCTTCTGCTGATTCGTCCATATCTTAAGGCTAAGTATTGCATAATTCTTTAATTATTTATTTATTTTAGAATCAAATTAATTCATTTATCTAGAAATCGCGTATAAATTCAACTGTACCATTTTACAGGTGAACAAACTATTTAGGAACTTTTCCAACAGTTGTGTCTCTCTCCCTTATATATACTATATACATTTGACATGGATCTGGGTTGATCCACATGGGTGACCTGAATACAATTTCCTTCACTTATTTTATCCAATTTCCTTCATTTATTTTATCTAGCTAGAAAACTCAAAAATTGTTATGAATAGTTTGTAGATATGGATGCCCATGTGGTTGAATTGCTTATAGATGGATTCTCATAGTTTATGTCCATCCAATGCACTATTTTACAATAGTAAGTCTTCTCATTTTTGTGCCTATAAAAGGCTGTGTAAATGGCAATGGAAAGACACACCAGAAGAAGTGAAAAACTTCTTCTTTGAAAAACTTCTTCTTTCTATCTCTGTTTCTTATTTATATTTTACTAAACTACTTTTATTTCATAAAAAAAATTAATTTGTACTCAATGTTTTGTTTCTATCGGTGGTTGGATGAATAAAGAAACAGTAAGACATGAAATTAGGTTTTAAAAAAAACAAGGAAAAGAGAGGACGAATTCTTTATTTTCCAGAATGTTGCATTCATGAGCGTACACATCAGGCCTTGGCCTAAATGGGCTTCACAGATTATACAACATTAGATTGATGCTAAAATTGCCACACACTGGTATATAATTGAAAAAGAGAGATACAAAGAAAGAAGGAGAGAAATTCTATAAGTATATAGTTTGTAAGTAGCCCAATGAACTCGAATTAAATTACATCAACAACAATGGGTTGTTGGTCACCTGACATACGCCTACAATTGTTTCTTGTGGCCGTCAACTGATACGGCGAACGATCGGTGCTAAGCCACTGATCCACGTTGAACAGCTGTTGACTGCATTGTTTGTGGTCTCCTGTTGAGGTGACTTCCACGTAGTTGCAGTACCATGCGGAGTGTCGGCCTGTACCATCAGAAGTCAAGACCATTTTGCAGATCGGCCCAGTCAAACATGGTCCATGGCCACTGAACATATCTGAGTGGTCAGTTTCAAAGTAGTTATACCCTGAGCCCATAAGCCCACCCCAAGCCACTAGGTTCTTGATTCTAATTCCATAGCCACTCGCATCGTAGAGAGTCAAGCTTATTTTTGAGTCAGTTGCATCCTCCATGAATGGCCCAGTCCGAATGTAAGCTGTGTACACACAATTTGGTTCCTGCATTTTTCTATTAAATCAGCAGAGTAAAATGCAAATACAAAATGAAAAACATGAGGGTATTCTAGGACTGTGACAAAGTAGCAGATTCTGTTACTATGTGAGCTATGATCAATATTTTAAAAAATATTTTTTTTATCAAATAGACATTAGAAAAAATACTTTTTGTATAGTTATAATATAAAAATATTATTTTAAAATATTGAGTTCCACTGTGTGTAAATATATATATATATATATATANAAGCTACTCCCATGACAGCTACTTGTGCAAGAGAAATTGTTTCTTTATCGAGAAATGAGAGGATAAAGGTAAATGATTTTGAGATAGTGGAAGTGATAGTATGATACGTGTAGTTTATTTATAATGGATAAAAGCTTAGAGGAGACGATATTATATTGAGAGTGGATGAATAAAATTAGATTCACGGCGGCTAATAACTCGAACTGCCAGCTGTAAAGAGGATGGGATCAATATTAGTTTTAAAAGAAAAACAAGACGCATTCCTTTCGTGGATCTTCCTTTATTGCGAGCAAGTGGAGATGGTGGGATTTCCCAAATAATTTCTTTCATTTTTTCATTATATTTTTCCTGTAAATATAACTAGGTGGGTGCATGCATGTTTCTCTCTCATGGCGGCTTCTGAGCAGATTTGAAGTTTGGCTTCACTTTACAATATAGAAGTGCGATAATCATTTTAGGATAGAACGGAGAGGTGCAAGTGCACATATTATTATATAAAATGGAAATAAGTCAACAATACGTCTGGCAGGTCAAATTAGCCGCCATGAGTCCTATATAGTAATCGTTCTTCCACTAGGACTTTTATAGTGTGGCTCACGGGTAGGCCTACTGCCTAATTATAGTTTTGATCCTACAACTCTCAATATAATATCGTACCCTGTGAACTTTGATATAATCTATAAATAAAGTATCATACTATCATTCCTACTATCTCAAAAGCACTTGCCTCTCATTTTATAAAGAAAGAAACAGCTAGACAGAACGAGTGTTCAGAAGCTGCCATGGGAGTAGCACAAGTTAACCAATTCTGGTTGCATCTCGTCATCCTCTTCTCCATCTCCGTTTCTTCTATTTATGGCACTGTAAGTCACTCTTCTCTACTTCTTCTATGTTGACGGATTTAATTAGAGTAGACGCAGTAATTTATGTCGAACTCGCTGCGTCTACTTCCTAATTACCTTATAAATTTATATATGTATGAAAGAAAAGAAACAAATATGAGTAAGAACAGAACACATTGATTCTAAATTATAAATTTGTCACTATACCATAATTTTGTTTTTGTTTGGCAATTGCTGATTTGATGGGAAAATGCAGGAACTGAATTGTGTATACACAGCTTATGTTCGGACTGGGACATTCTGGGGGTCTGGAACTGACTCAAAAATTACCTTGTCTCTTTATGATGCCAATGGCCATGGGCTTAGAATCAACAACCTACAGGCTTGGGGTGGGCTTATGGGGCCAGGTTACAACTACTTTGAAATGGACCAATTGGATATGTTTACGGGCCGTGGTCCGTGTTTGACTGCGCCAATCTGTAAAATGAACTTGACTTCTGATGGATCAGGTGATCACCACGGATGGTACTGTAACTACGTGGAAGTTACGTCTACAGCAGAACACAAACGATGCAGCCAACAACTGTTCACCGTGGAGGCGTGGCTCAGTGCCGGTCAGTACCCAGATGGGTTGACCGCCATTAGGAACAACTGTAAGCGTATTTCCAACGAACAACAACCAATTCATGATTCTGATCAATCTTATAAAGTAGTTGATGTAATTTAATTCGAGTTTATTGGACTTTAGCGGGCCAGAATTTCTCTCTCTTTATGTTTGTTCTTCTCTTTAATTTGTCAATTCATCAGATTGTGAAAATTTACGTGTTGATCTGATGTTGTATGATTTACGAAGGCCATTTAGGCCAAGGCCTGATATGTACTCTGATGAGTGCTACATAATTGGAACGGAAAGTTTTCTTCACCCATGATTTTTAGATGAATTGTGACACAAAAACATTTTCTATTGCAAGTTATGACAAGCCTTTGTACATAATTGGAGTGGAAGGTCACAGAAACCTATACATATTTCTTCCTTTTTTAGCTAATATACCACTAAGCTGGGTGCTTAGTGGTATTTTTTATTAATAATAATAAAAAAACAAAATACATGTGAGGAGGTCTCACAAAATGAAGGAAATTAAAATATGTAATTACATCAATCCTATTACTAAAGTTGAGCAGCGTACTCAGATTTGGTAGTACATAATGAGCTAATTCAAGCAAATGAAATTGAACTTTAGCAATTGTCCTAGCTAAGCCTTGCCTGGTGGAGTTCCAAATTGTGCACCAAATTTTGCCAAAGTGGCCAGTCATCACGCGTGATTCTGGACCAAGCCGAGATATTAGCATTCGATCAACTTGCACTTCTTGATGTCCACACCAAGTGTCACATCCTGCTCTGGCAATAAAACTCACCAGAAGATGGGAAAAGGACGCTGTCTAGTTTGAAACATGCTTGTGGACCTTGCGATTTGATTCCACGGCTTCGTGTATGATCCCGGCATTGATTAGTGAGAACCACATGTCTATGCCTTCCTGATGTGGTGCATTATCTGAGTATGAAAAGCATATCCTCCCAATTAAAATCCATCTTCCCACAATTGCAAAATAAAACCCTTGCCCAGTCATGTAAAATCTGGGTAGTGCTCTCTTTGTGCGGGTGTCTCGAGTACTTGCTCTTCCATACATAGTACTATATCTTGATTCAATGACCATGCAAGAGTTGAAGAAGCAGTGAACATGCTAACAAACAACGTATAAGTTCTCAAAAATGCACCACATGTTTCAGTGACATTTCATGCTACTTATTTGCCAAGTTTGGAGCTTCTTCGATTGATCTGCTGATGCAACATGGAGCTGAATTATGCAGTGGTTGCACCAATAGGGAATGAATATCGAGGATGCTAATATCACCCTATAAGGTTTGGCCACAACATACAATCCAGCACCCTTATTTGTACCTGCAAAAAAGCAAACAAGGTTAGTGAAAAATACCTCCTTGCTCTCTTCCCTAAGGATTTGAGTAGGAAGATCAATATGAGCCCCATATCCAGACCTTACCCCTTGTCCTCCAACCAACATCAACATTCTCCAACTCCCCACATTAACACACACCATGCATCTTTTCTCCATAACCTTCAACATCAGTACACTTGAGGTTTTGCATTTCTCACCCCTAATGTAGGGCAACTGTAACTTGTCACTATTCAAGATCATTCTCCCTTTGACATTAAGATCAACAAATGAAGGAGTCTGAATCATTGTATTACTATCCAGTGTCAAATTAGCAAGGTGATCCGCTAATTGATTTCCTTCCCTAAGAACATGAGCTACATCAACTACACATCTTGCTCTCAAATGAATTATTTCGTCCATCAATGTAACAATGTTCCATGGTGGTTCCCACACATCATCAAGCACCATTTTCATTAATAACGAATCAGTCTCTATACAGGGAGGAAGATGAGAGTTAGCTATGTACCTTAGAGCTTCAGGGATAGCCCTAGCCTCAGCAATATTGTTTGTAGCCTCATAGATCTCCCCTGCTTGAGCATAAATTAGATCACCAATGCCATCTCTAATACAAAATACATAAGAAGCCCTTCCATTTGTATCTCTACATGCACCATCCGTGTTGCATTTTAACGATCCATCTGGAGGTAGTTTCCATAGAACCCTTGTATACTTCAATTTTGGAATATGTTGGTGTAGCTTGTCATGTAAATCTGGCCAGTTTGATGTCACTCCTGTGAAAGCTATTCTCCTCATCTTTAGTAGATTATGAAGGTAAGTAGAAATCAAGAAAATCAACCTATGAATAGACCCATCCTTCCCATGCATTCCTGAGTTTCTTTTCTTCCACAAATGCCACACAATCAAGGCTGGAATGGCTTGGTATGCTGTCCTCAAGCTTGTGTTGTCTGGCTTTCTCCCCCACTCATTTTTCACCTGTATTATATGCTTTTCATCAATGTTGATCCGTGCTGGTCCACAGAAGTACTTCCATACAAACATAGCTGCTGGAGATCTCAAGAAAGTATGAACTATGGTTTCCTCACTAGGGTTTCTACAACACCAATATTTTAATGTTTGAAAGTACCCCATCCTTCTCATGTAATCATCCAATGGTAGTTTGGCTTTCCATAATCTCCATATGAAGAAAGAGATCTTGAAAGGTAGTCCCTTCACCCATATAAACTTATATAGCATGTTCTCATGCTTCATGTTCCTTATGTATTGCCATGTTGTCTTTACTGAGAATTGCCCCTTGTATTCTAGTTGCCAATAAGCCTTATCCTTCAACTCCGGACTATTTGGTGGTGATATTTTCTCCATATTGTGATCAGTTATGTCATCTAGTAAGATCTCCATCAACAGCTCCTCATACCAAGCTCCATCTATCATTACTTCCCCGGCATAAATGATTGTTTCATCACACCAATAATTTGGGCCAGTAGCATGGTAAAGTGTAGCACCGCAGAAAATTTCGAAGTACTTAAGGGCTATTAAGAAAGTTGATGTGTGCTAATTATATTATTTTGTGTGCAGACAAGGACTATTAATATGATGGATATTAATTTGGATATGATAATAAGTGTACGAGAAATATTATAAGTGATGTGGGGTCTAAGGAGAGCCCTAAGTCTAAGCCAAGCTCGAAATTACATGATAGACTAAAGTTCCAAAAAAGTACGCACAAGACCAAACTTTGGATGACCATATATACATATATACAAGGATTTTTGTTATGGACAGCCTATCAAATGAAAGATCTTCGAGTCTAGTTTTTAACGCTTCAACCCGTTTGTCATTTGGACATTCCTACAAGACGTTATGACCAAATTACCAAAGACTGGCAGAGGAGTCTGCAGATGCGAAGCATTCGGGGCCGCGTTCGAAAGAATGACTTGGCAGTGAAGTGCTATCATAGCATCCAAGGCCGCATCCGAAATCCAAAAATCTGGGCCTATAAATACCAAGTCGGGGGAGAGAGTATTTTGAGTATTGGGGGTTAGGATTCTTGAG